GCACCTGCCGGAGGCTGGCTTGTGCCCTGAGCACACCCAGGGCTGTGGTTTGGGCTTTGGCCATCCTCAGCCTCCCCTTCCTCCTCTTCCTCATACCACTGAGGAAGATTCCTGCCGCTTGGGACCGTATCCTGACTGCAGTTACAACAAATCCCTGCAAGGCTTCGGGTCTGCAGGACCCCAACTGGCAGAGACAGTGGCTGGGATGCAGGGGATGGAGATGGGATGCAGGAGAGGGGGAGGTGGGACCCCACCTCTGCTTGGTTCCCTGGTTCCCACAGCACCCTATGACCACGCACCCGGCCAAAGCCACCCACCTGCGGGGACCCGGCTGGGGGTGGCCATTGACGGGGCGTTTTGGGGTGGGAACCCCTCCTTTTGGCGGCCGAGCGCTCCTCGTGCAGCCGCGGTGCCGGCAGCCAAGCCAAACACGGATTCCTGACATATTTTTCTCTTTTCCTTTGCAGCCAAGAAATTCATATTTCATGGGAGGTGAAAGTGAGTCCCGGCAGTAGCTGAGCGGCGGAGGGTGCCAAGGTACGGGCCAGCTGACAGCGCAGGGTCGGATGCTATTTTTGGGAGCCAGATGCTCTCCTCCTCGTCCCCGACAGGCTCAGGGGATGTCCCCAGCCCCCCCCAGGGATGCTTGGGGACCTCCCCAGCTGCTTTTCTGGCCCCACAGCAGCCCGACCAGGAGAGACAGAAAGTTTAAAGAGGCGCCAGGCTTTGAGAAGGGGCCAGTTCACAAGGGGAAGGGATTCTTCACAGCATCACCCCGCTTGGGTGGGATTTAAATCCTTTAGGCAGTGGTTAAATACCCCTTTTTGGGGACACAAACCCAAAGTGTGTTCAGAGGCACCCCTGCAGAGGTGGTGGGGGGGTTTCATCTGGGGACCACCACATGCCCCCTGCCCATCTCCCTCCCGCCAGCCGCAGTAAAGGGCATTTGCCTGGGTGATGCCACCCTGCTGGCATCTTGACTTTTTTTTCCTTCCACCCACTCCTACACCCGTCCCTGAGCCGCTGTTGCCGAAACCACAGTGCCTCCGGCCGCGATACCCACCCAGATAACAGCAGCCCCGTCCCGGGATGGTTGTTTATTCACCTTGCAGGAACACCCTGTGAACTTGCCTGTGCCAAACCCCGACCGGAGCCGCGCTCCTGGGACCCCCCACCCCAATCAGACCCCTTTACACCCAGCCCTGCACATCTCCCAGCCCCATCTAGGGCTTCTCTGGCCCGGGCACCCTCCATACAAATAGCAAGAACAGTCCCTGCTTTGCTAATCTCAATAGACGATGCAGAGAGCAGATAGGCGAGGGGAAGCATTATCGGGCCTGATTTACAGATGGAGGGCTGAGTCACCGCGATTAACTGACTTACCCAAGGTCATGCAAGGGAGAGGCCGAGCCCAGCGCTGAACCCGGCTCTCCCAAATCCCCCAGCGAGGCCATCCCTCCACTCCCTGCCACAAGGAAGGAGTTTTTTCCTTCTGCCCAGAGCGGTGCTTGACTGAACCCAGGCAGGAGCTGGGCAGTGGGGCTGAACCTGCCTCTCTGCAGGCAGCGCCGCCGATTCAGCCCTTTCTTCGTGCTTTGTTTCAGCAGCTGGTGGTGTTTTCTTGTTGGGTGTTGAGGTTTTTTTGCTGTTCACACTGACCGTTTTGTTTCCCATTGTTCTCCTCCAGAGTGGGGTTGAGCCCCAGGGAGATGCTTCACCTGCTTCACAGTGGGGGCATGGTGATCTTCATGGTGTGGTCCCCATAATGGTGTCCCAGCCAAGATGCAAAGCTTCAGCATCCTGCTGGTGGGATTCACAGCTCTTCTCTCCTGGGAAGTAGACACTACCAGGGCTGGGGGTGATGCAGTTCCCCAGGATATGCATCCTGGGACAGCCCTGCAGGAATAAGTGCTAGAGGGATGGGGAAGTGCTAAGGTGCTCGGGGGAGCACAGGCAGCCCTAGGGGACCCTCGGCTCTGCCCCTCAAGCACAGCTGGCTCTGGGGGTGCAAGGAGCTGAGCTGCTTGGCTCTGGGTGCCAGGGAGCTGGGGTGGTGAATCACAACCCACCTGGCATGTCAGGGCTCCCAGCAGGATGGGACCTGCCCCACGGAGTGGCATGCTGGGCTCTGCCTTGCCAGCCAGGCTCTTGCCGTCACTGCACGGCTTGTCCCTGTGTCCTCAAGACGCAGAAGGCTGTGGGTGGCGTCATGTCATCCAGCGTGGGAGGATGCTCCAGGGACAGGTGAAAGGTTTGAGCACCCGGCAGGGCACACAATTGTAAGTGGGGATCACTCTCCCTGCAGCCAGGCAGGCTGGCAACAGATATCACATGTTGTTTTTAAAGCATAACCTTCCTTTGCCCCCCTCCCATCCTTTTCCACCTCCTCTTCCAGGAGCTGAAACATTAAAACCCAAGAATCGATGCGAGTGTCAGAAGAGGAGCCTGGTCCTGGGAATAGGCTAAAGAGCGGGTTGAGAGTCTGTAAAAAAAGAGATTAAATGGTCCCTATTTTCATTTTATTCTGGGTTTCCCATCCCGCAAGGGGCGAACTATGTTTGAGCTGGATCCATAAACCCTCCGGTGATGGATGCAGGCAGCTGCCTGGGGAATATCACTTTAAATCAACACGCCCAGCCCTCCTTATCAAACACCCCATCGAACGCTGAACCTCACCGAGGGGCCCCACATTTCTGCACCGAGCTGCTCCCCGGGCTGCCCTGCCATCCGAACGGTGATGCAGCCAGCAGGAGGGACCCCCCCACGCAGGGATGGAGGACCCCCAAGCCCCAGCAAGGGGACAAGCGTCAGGGTTTGGGGGAATGAAGCCCTAATTTACACCGTGCTCTTATCTCCATGTGCCATCTCTCATTTGCATGGGATAAATTTATGCCCATATCCTGCCCAGGCTCTGCCACCACCACCGGGCATCCCGGCACGTAGATCCCCTTCATCGATGGGACAGTCCCACGTGCCACCAGCTCTGCTTTCCCCATCCCCTTCCCCGTGCCAGCCCAGGGAGCAGAGTGTTTGTTTCTCCTGGCACTCAGCACTGTTGCACCAGCAAACCCCAGCCCTTGCCATGCAAATCCTGCAGCTCGACAGAGACGCACACGAGCTTTTCCTTCCAAAAAAAAAAAAAAAAAAAAAAAAAAAAAGAAAAAAAAAAAAGGGCTCCTTTATGTGGCTGAAAGAGCACGACTGTGATAATGTAGCGAGCGCTGGCCTTGGGTATTTTATCTTGGCAAGGAGCCTTTGCAAATTTAAACAGCAGCAAACAGGCTCTGCAGTTGTGGCTGGAAGCAGCATAAGTGGCGCATTGTTTTGCAAGCAAAACCCCTGCCTGCCAAAGGGCCGCGTGTGAGCTTTGGCCGGCACGGGGGGGTTGGGGGGGTGACGAGGGCGATAGGGTCCAGCCATATCTATCAGCCCGGGATTCATTTCACTTGGTGGGGTGTGAAACGGCGGAGGAATTCGAGCCCGGCAGCTCAAATCAGAGCGGGGACCCCCCCCCAGCCCCAAGCTGCCATCCCCTCTTTTGCAGGAGGAGCGGCAGGGATGCAGCCATGCCTCTGCCATCACTATATATATATTTATATGATAATATTATTATTAATGCCTATGTGCTGCAGCAGCATCACAGAGCGCTGGGTGCTCCCCCCGGGTGCTGTGTGCGTGCCAGGCACTGAACACAAACTGAGAGACTGGGTGCAGGCAGCAGAGACCCCAAATAGATGCAGGTGGCTCCCCTTTTCTTGCAGAAATTCTTGTTTTCTGCTCAGATCGCTGCTGGGCGGGGATGGCAAGGCCGTGCAGCACAGGATGGACCCCAAATGGGGCTGGGGAGCTATAAGAATTACACCCAGGAGAAGACTTATAAACTGAATTTTACGCTCCTTTGCAGCCAGGTCGCCCCCTCCCCAGGTCCCAGCAGTCTCGTGCCTTTGCCCCCTGCAGCAGGCAGTAAAGAGGTGTTTCTAGTGAGGGAGGAGAAATAAACCCTTTCTGTTTCCAACAGACTTTTGAAAACAGGGGTTTACTCTTCTTTTTACTATAACCTGTGTCTGGGGCTAAAATCCTGGTGCTGCCTTTTTAAAAGGCTGCTCTTGACTTGTGCTTCGTGTCTAATGCCCTGAGGTCCTGTGTTGTAAAATCAGCTGGTAAATTCGGGACTCGGTTTTTACGCTTTCACCTACTTAACAGTGTCTAAAATTGCGAGGGCAATTTGCAGGGGATGTTGAAGTTAAGGCAGAGGCAGCAGATGCTCAAATCCTTTCTCCGGGGGTTTCAGGGCAATGGTTTGGTGGAGAGGTGGCGAGGTCGAAAGGACACGCTGGAGGGGAGTCGTGGTGGAGCAAAAGCCTTCTGCTGCACAGCCCGACCTCGTTATCCCTCCAGCCATGGGAGCAGGGTCACAAGGACATGGGGATGTGGGGACACAGGGATGTGGGGACACAGGGAGCCCTTCCCAGGACGCCTCTCCCAGCCCGGCCCGACAGCCCTTCCCGCTAATCCGTAGGTGGAGCTCTTCTGTCATCTTTTTCTGCTTATGTTGCTAAGTAGTACCCAGAAATAGCTTCTCTGGGAGGAAAAAAGTGCCTCCCTCAGCAGCTTTTGCCAAAGGTGAAATGCTCCGAGCATCCTTTGAAGAGCCAAAAGCTGAAGGGCTTTGCTCTGGGGGGGTTGTGCTGCCCCTTCCTCCATCTCCCTCCCCACCGCAGCGCCAAGAAAAGGGACCAAAATATCTCCCCTCCCTCCGCTGGCCCTCTCCCCTGGCTGACGGCCACTTTTTCTCTTCTTTTCTCCTCTCCAGGTCTGAAACGATGTGGCAGAGCCCCACCGGCGCTCGGGACCCCGTGCCACCCCGGCCCCGGGGAGCTGCTGCCCCTCTCACCGCCCCGGTGCCCATCGGCGGAGGACCATGCCCGTGACGGAGGGACGGCAGCTCGCAGCAGGACGGGAAAACGGGGGTTTCTAGCCTTTCCCCCCACCTCGGTATCATGACTGGAGAGACCCAGCATGTCTACACCATCGGCGATACTGAGGCCGGCCCCAAAGACCCCGACAAGGACTTTGGCTTTGAAGGCTGTGGGGAGAAGGACGGGAGGACACTCGGTGGGGAGGGCACGTCCCCTTTCCCCAGCCCCAAGGACAAGGAACCCCACAGCCAGCGGGAAGCTGTGATCCGGCCCCAGCAAGCGGGAAAGATCGACTTCAAATCCCTCCACTGCAAACCCAAGTTTGGCAACGATGGCGCCTGGGGAGAGGTCAAGGGCAGCCCCCAGTCCCCCCCGGGGAAGGGTCGAGCCCGTGAGCGCAGCCGGCGCTCGGGGAAGGGCGAACGGGGCCACCATCAGCTTTACCGGCTCAGTATCGCCGGCACCAGGCCCAACCCCACCATCGGCATCGCCTACCCCCAGCAGAAGGTGACCCCTCCCAAGAAGCCAGAGGCAAATCACGGCCCCGTGGCCGGCAGCTACCGCTTCCACGTGCCCAGCATCCCCCAGCGCGAGGCCGAGCTCCGGCAAGAAGACCTCGGCTTCGGCCGCTGCTTCCCTGATGCCGCCACGGCCGGCCGTACCTCTGCCAACTATACCTCACAGCCCGCTCCCCCCCACGGCCCCAAAGGGCAGCCCCCCGCCACCGGCATCCCCCTCAAGAGCCCCGGCACCAATGGGCAGCTACATTATTTAGAGTTTCAGGCAAACGGGGCCGACTCCTGGGCTTCCCCGGAGAAGAGCTTTGCCGGTGCTAGCTATGGGATCTCGGTGCAGAAGCCCAGCTCTTTCCCCGAAGGTGGCAAAGCCAGTGCCCACGGCCTGGGGGCTTTGCCGTGCCAGTACCCCTTCCAGCTGCTGCACGACTCGGGGAAGGAGCCGTACCGCAGCGACGCGGGGAGCCAGGAGTACCTGGAGGTGGGGCTCACCGCCGGCCAGCTGGCTCACGGCACCTTCGCCTTCCACTCCTCCTCCAGAGAGTGGCAAGAGGAGGCACTGAGCGGCGGCTCCTACGAGAGCGTGTCCCCCGAGGGCAGGCTGTATGGCTTGCCCCCGCCGCCGCCACCGTTCCTGCACCCACCGCCGCCGCCGGCCCCGCACCACAGCCCGCTGCCGTGCTGCAAGGGCAGGAGCGAGCATCCCGCCGCCGACCCCAATGGTGCTCTCGCCTCGTCTGGTGCTATCGACCAAAACCCAAGCACTTTCCAAGAAAACCAAGCTGTTTTTCCGTCTAGTTTACACTCGCCTAGTGTGCCAAAGCCAGTCGGTAAGAGGCAAGCCTCAGCGAAAGACAGTGTCCCCAGCCCGCGGCTGCTGGTCCAGAGCAGCCCTCTGAGAAGGAACATGCCACCAAACTCTCTCTCCCAAGTGCACTTTCAGAGCAAAGCCTATTGCAGTTCACCCTCGGGCAGCGCCAGCGCAGGATCCGTGCCTTTCGAGACAAGCGTTCCCACTACGGCACCCACCCACCCCAGGCTTGTGCAAGCCTGGGAAGGTGCCACTAAGGCGTTCTCTCCCATGGACCAGAATTCAGCACCTTATTCAAACCCTGTTGGAAACCAGTTCTCATTCGAGTGCCAGTCTGGCCCCGAGCAGAGGCAGCACAGGCAGAAAAATGCCAGGATGCCTTGGCAGCAAATACACCTCGCTTCTGCAATGCCCGGTCAAAACAGGCTAGAGCTGTCGAGACAAATCACCAGCCAGAAGCTCCCCTTCCCCCTGGTCACGTCGGAGTGGCAGGGGAGCGGGAAGGCTCAAAAAGGGCCCCCCGTAAGTAACTCTCCAGGGTATCACGGCAAAAAGCTCTTGTCAGCAGAGAGCCTCGGGGTCCAGAGGGGAGACCCCAACTCGACAGGCGCTTTCTCTTTCGAGAGTGGGAAGGAGCCAGGATCTCCCGCCTGCGATTCCAGAAGCAAAGCCCTCTTCTACAGCATGGGTCAAGCAGGTCCTCCTCCCTCCAGGAGCTCGTCAGGCTCAGCGCTGGTCCTGCCGCCATCAGCCTTGGTGGCTGCCTCCCCTTGTGAGTCCCCGCTGCCATCCCCTGTCCCCAACCCCACCTGCAGCAGCACCTGCTCATCGCTCTCCCCCATGTCCAGCAGCCCACTCAACGCCGGCTTCGAAGACAGCCAGATGTCTGGAGCGCTGACCCCCTCTCCCTTCTTCCAGCACCCCTGCCATCCCAAGGACGGCAACAAAACCTTCCATCCCTCTGATGTCCTGAGCTCCAGCTCACTTCATTACCACACCCTGGACTCCATCAAGTCCTTCCACTTCCCTCCTGATGCCCTGAAAGACGACAGCCTCCTGAAATGCGCCCCGGCAAGCCCGTTCCACAAACCCAGCATGGAGGTGGCCAAAGGATGCTCAGATGGGCTGGATGGGGAGCAGCCTCCACCGCCATACTCCTCCCATCACTTGCTGGCCAGCTCGCTCAGCAGCGCCAGCCTGGACCAGCTGGATGTCCTCCTGACCTGCAAGCAGTGCGACCAGAACTACAGCAACCTCTCCTCCTTCCTGCAGCACCGCCAGTTCTGCACCTCCCATCCCACTCCCCAGGGAGAGGGCAAGGATGCTCCCCGGGCAGCCGAGGGGCGGAAAGTGCTCCCCTCGGAGCCCCCCAAACCCCCCAGCCTGGGGCTGTCTCCAGACCCCCAGGCACATTTGTTGGCGTTAAACAAGAGCGATGACTTCTTGCTGGATGGGGAAAGCAAAAGCGAGGGCAAGGAAGATGCTCTGAAGGGCGGCCTCTTCAACGGGCTCACCACCAGCTCTCTACCGCTCACCGCCTCGGACCTGGACATCGATGATGCCAAGCTGGACAGCCTCATCACCGAAGCCCTCAACGGCCTGGGGTACCAGTCAGATAATCCAGAGATCGACAGCAGCTTCATAGACGTGTTTGCTGATGAAGAGCTGACAGGTGTGAAGGCAGCTGGTGGTGGGGTGTCCCACAAGACAAAGGAAGCCCTGGCCTCAGAAAACAAATCAAAGCAGGCAGCAGCCAAGGAGAAGGCAGCAGGCCAAGCCAAGGCTGGCTATTTTTATGAGGACGGCCATCCAGGTGGGGAGCAGGTGAAGAGAGGGGCAGGGAAGCAGCACCTTCACAAGGGGAGGGCAGCACAGAGGTTGGCAGCCCAGGAGCTGGATCCAGGGGCAGCAGGAGCAGAGAGGACGGCCAGGCTGCGGGCAGGCAGGAAGAACAGCATCCCACCGGTCACCACCTCCTCCAAGTCCACCTCTAGCCAAAAGCATCCCAGGAAGCTCAGCCAGGAGCCTCCAATGAAGAGCGAGGTGGGGCAGGGCATTGCCACCAAGAGCTCCAAGCCACCCCGGTTTTCCATGAAGGAGATGAAGAAGCGGAAGCCCCGAAGCGGGACATGGAGCAAGGAGCTCATCCACAAGATTGTGCAGCAGAAGAACAAGCTCCACAAACTGCAGGTGAAGAGCAGCAAGCAGGCACAGTTCCCTCAGGTTGCTGAGAGGCTGATGCCAGCTGCCAGGGAGGGCAGGTTTCAGGAGTATGACTATGTCTCTGACTCGGATGATGATGGGGCAGAGTGTAGCAAGCCCCGGGGACGGAAGAAGCAAGGCACGGGATTCGTCAGGAGGACCAAGTACAGCTTTAGCAAGAAACGCCCAGGAAGAAGTGAGAGAACCAAAGAGAAAGATCCAGCCTGGAGCTACAGCCGGAAAAGGGACAGTCAGAAAAGGGAGGCACGGGAGCATGGGGGTGTCTCAAGCCAGGGGGATGGCGAGAAAGAGGATTGTGCCACCAGAGTCCGAAGACGGAGCAGCCAGTCGTCCACCGGCAGCAACCACAGCGATAGCATGCCCAGCGAGGTGGGCACCAGCCCACCCCACACTGATGGGGCTGGCTCAGGCAGTGAGAAGGGACGCACGCAGAGGAGGAGGCGTTCAGGCAGCCCAGCACGTGTGCCAAGGACTCCACTTAGCCTTCCCGAGGAGAGAAGCCCAAAGAAGAGCCAGAAAAACAAAGAGGACTTTCCCAGGGGCAGCAGGCCGTTTGGCTCAGCCAAACCTTTGGTAGCTGGCTCCAGGACATGTCTGAGTACTGAACCAGATGTTGCTGTGATGGACTGTGCAAAGGAGGAGCTGTTGCCACAGGCCCAGGAGAGGCAGCTGCCCAGCACAGCCACCTCGGGCAGGAGCCCCGTCAGGCTCTCCTGTAAAGAGGGGGAAGAAGAACCCAAAGTAATAGCAAAGCACACGAGTGAGGCAGGAGAAGCCACCCTAGAAGCTCAGGACTCACCTGAGCTGACCATGGTCAACCAGAGGCATCAGTTTGACCCTTTCACCAGTGATGGGCTGAAGTACCATGCAGAAGAGCTAATTGCTACATCCCACGGTGGTAACGAAGCTAGTCCTGGCAACGTGAGCGCTGCGTACTCGGAAGCGGGCATCAAATACTTGAAGGCCCATGAGCTCTGTGACAGTCGGAAGGACTATCCTGCACCAGTTGCCCCATATGGAGGGGATGCAGTGGGGATGATGCTCACTGCCAAGGCGGCCGATCCATACATCAGCAGCGACAATGCATTTTTCAATCCCAAAAGTCTTCCCGGTCACTACGATGACAACCTCTTCTCAAAGCCCCCAGCCTTGGGCTCCTCACACATGGATGACATGTACTTATGCCGGGATGACATCAACACCAGCTCCTTTGAGCAGAAGCACGCCAGCATCTCCCCTTACACTGCAGAAACACCGCAGGGCAAGGTCTCCTCCCCTCTCAGCTTCGATTCCTCTTCAATATTTGGAGAGCTTCCTGTCACCGAGTTTGATCCACCACTGTACGAGAGTGTTCCTGCAAGCAAGGATGGTTATGTGACAACATTCACTTGCCCTGGAAATCCCCCCAGCAAGCCGCTGCCCTTTGAGCAACCATATCCACCATTCATGCCAGAGAAAGACTGGTCTCTCATGGAGGAGGTGGCTCCAATGCTGCCAGAAGACATGACTCAGTTCCACAACCTTTCAGTGGAGAAGCCACTAGCCAAGAAATTCCCAGAGGAAGGACCTGTCCCCACCAACCAACTCTCCCTGCCGCTGCCGGAGAGGATAACGGATTATAACGTGACCTTTATGAACAACATATCAGATGATGACCTGGAGATCAAGCGATTAGTCACAGAGCTGGAAAGTCAACTGCAAACCAGCAAGCTGGATAACGAGGCCTCCATCGCCCTTCAGAAACCCGAGCAACACGTTGCTGCCCATCTGCGAGGAGAGGTGGCCAAGCAGTTTCCACCACTGCCGGCTGAGCAAGAGACAGGCCAGGAGAAAGGACTGCTTTTGGCAGACAAGCTGGACACTTCAAGCCTCTGCATCAGGGAGAGGCTGGGAAGCGAGAAGCCGGCCATCACGAGCACCCACAGGGACTATGAGAGACCCAGAGAGCCCTGGCCCTGCCCGGTGGAGCTGGGCTCGCTGGAGGCAGGGATGTGCACACCAGCCCCACTCACCACGGACCATCTCTGCTCCAAAGACAGCGGCGAACAGCTCCGGGGAACTGCGACTGCCAAGGAAAGTGACTCTGGAAAGATGGAAAATGGGTCTTCCTCCAAAAGCCTACCTGGCTCACGTACACCAGACCAAACGGAGGCTCCCGTCTACACAGACCCTGTGACAAAAAGCCCTCCTGTTGTCACCGACTCCATGTTCCCCAAGATCCTCAAGGCAGCAGAAGCAACCAAAGATCCCCTGCCACCCCTGCCATGCCAGCATGGTGCCGAGAGCTTCCCTGTGCCAGGGAAAGCAGATGAAAGCCTTGCTGATGCTGCAGAGCTGGAGGAGAAGTTTGATGCCCATCATCCAAACCATAAACCTGAATTTGGCTTTCAGCAAGGTCCCACCCCAGCTTTGGATCTCACCTTTTCACCTCACGTCAAAGAGGTCCCAGATACAGAGGAAAGACCCTTAAGCAGGCCCGAGTCACCCAAAATGGCAAAACACACCATGGACTTCAAAGAGGATGGTGGTGGGTCTGTGTTGACAGAAGAAACAGAGGAGAGGAAGAGCCCCACCACCTGCCCAGCTCCCGGACCCAGCGACAAAGCCAGCAAGCAAAAAGTGCTGCTGTTCAATATGTTGAGTCTGCCCAAGGAGAGTGACTGTGGCTCCCAGAAGATGTTGGCATCCCAGGAGACATCTGCCAACCCTCTGCAGCAGCTCCAGCTCTTCGTTGCTCGAACAGTGAAAAGCAATGAAGAGGAGCTGCTGATGCCATGCTTCCCCATGCTGCTTGCTCCCAGCCACCCCTCTGTCACCACCCGCGTCCAACCAGAGCAGAAAGAGGAGAGCAGTGGTGCCTTGGAAGGAGAAAATCAGACATACTGCCCTGCCCAAGGGGAGGGGAATGTCCCCATTGGAGGCAACGTGGAAAATACTGCTGCCCCAGCGAAACAGGCTGTGCTTTTGTCCGGTGGGTGCGAGCAGCTGGAGTCAATCGGTGCGACGGGCTCTTACCCTGCAAAACAATCCACCTTGGTGAAGCCAGAGCTCCAGAATAATGTAACGGAGCTGCAGCACTTAGCAAATGAACATGTGGAGCTGAATGACATTAATATCTGTGCAGATGGTGTTTCCCAAGAGCGTAATGACCTCTCGCCACTCGAAAACACAGTGGTGACCCCACTGCCAGGGCAAGGCAAGAAAGCTGATCAGCTCGTGGAAGAGCAGGAGGAAGATAAAAACAAAGAGACCTTGGCATTTAAAAAACATGAGCAATCCCGTTTAAGCCGTAGTTTGCTGGAGAAAGAAACGCTGGGCAGTGCAGCAGCAGAGAGGCTGGAAAGGAATCAGGTGGGACAGGGAGCACAGCCCCTGTGCAGCGCTCCCGCAAGTCCCACCAGCCCCCCTGGTTCCTCCAAGGAAGAGTTCCACCAAGATCACCACTTGGTGCCAGAGGCGAAAGCCAGTGGAGTCGGTGCAAAGGTTCCCAGAGAAGGAAATGGCAAGAAGTCATCCCTCAATGGCTGTAATTACACAAGTGAACCTCTGGCCAGCTTGCCCTTGCTGGCCAATTTTTCTAACCCCAAGTGCTTGCAAAGTGCTGGGGCCAAGGGAGAAGAAGTCCCCGTCTTTGGCACTCAGCTTTCAGAAGAGAAGAAATACAGCGCATCCCTGATTAATGCATCGAGTTCTTTCGTCATGAAGAGGTGTCCTCCTGAGGTCGACAGCCATCACGTCCATCACCCCACCATGAGCCCTGTAGAGCAAGCGACATGGAAAAGGGCACCCACCTTTCCTCCCTCGCTGCATCACTGTGGGGCTGCACCAACAGAGGTGGTCAAAGACAGTCTCCCTGATGGTGTTTTGGGTAACTATGGACCACCTGAAAGAGAAGGGACAGCAAGACTCTGCACTCTGCTGCACGCTGATGATCTGGTGGGCTCTGCCTTGGAGATGGATGGTCCCCAGAAACAGCACAGGAAGGACTGCTGTCTTCCCTGCTGTGGTGGAACAGAGGTACCCAAAAGTACCAGTGCTGTGCTGTCAAGTTCTCATTTCAAAGAAAACCAGGCGTGCACCATCACAGATTTGGTTGTTAACTCCATTCCTCCAGAAACCCAAGATTACCCAACTCAGCCCACGACAGATCTTCTACCGATCATCAGCGGAAGAGAGGTAAATCTGAATGAAGAGAACAAGCTTGAAAGCTGCTCTGATGATGGAAATAAGCATCAAAGTGACACGGAGTCTTTGTCCAATGGTTTTGTTGCTCAGCAGGTCCCAACAGGTGCCAGAGGTCTTACAGGGACTGGAGATCTTGGTCCTGCTGAGTTAAATGGCCATGAGTTTTCAGAGGCAGCAGAGGTGAGACTCAGTGGTCTTTCCAAAACCACAGAGAGTGGAGGAAAGAGTTTAGAAGGGGAGAAACCCAAAACCCATGGGACTGGAGAAGCTGGGAGTTGTGTGTTAAACAATATGGGCCAAGGAGAGGACAATTTGCATACCAGTACTCCAAACCCTTCCCAAAATGAACTTCACAAAGAAAAGAAGCCAAATGGGCTCCCAGTGACCTGTGACATTTGTTCAGCCACTTTCCGGTCCAAGCCTGGCCTGACCAGGCACAAAGCTGTCAAGCACCAGGTGAAGAATGGTGGTGTACCACAGCCCAGCAGGACCGCCAGATCCACTTTGGTTCCTGCAGACAAGACACCAAAAGGAACCCAAAAGATGCCCAGGAGGAGTCTGAAGACTTTGTTCAAAGATAAAACCTGCAGCTCACAGATGCCAACCGGCAACGTTGATGACATCCCCAAGAAAATATTCCCAGACCTGGAGAAAGAGCCCAGCACCCAGATGCAAGAAGTGGTCAGCAGAGTGCTCAGCGACCTCAGCGTCATCTCCTTTGAGATGTCCCAGGAGCTGCACCGCACACGTGTTCTGCAGAGGGAGATGAAGGCACAGGGACCGCACTCAGAGATGAAGGGAGCAGGCGAGGAGACATCTGGGAAGCTGGACCCAGCACAGCAAACCAGGAAGGGAGAAAAGGGCAGAAGGAGCCAAAGCAAAGATCCTGGAGATGTGAACAGCAATTCTGAAAAGAAGCTAAACAGGAAAGTGCGACGAAGGAAAACAAAGGTATTTCCCAGCAGCAATGAGTCCAATGGTCCATGTGAGCTGGAGAAGGTGGCAGGTCCTCCCGCTGCTGTTCTTGGCTCCAGTCTGCCCAGGATCATGGAGGGCTTGCATGAGCCAGGTGGTTGCATCTCCACAGAGGAGCAAAACAGGTACAAGTCAATCCAGCACTCTGAAAAAGCTAAGCAGTCCCCTTGTGCAGCTGAGCTCGCAGAGGACCCAGGTGACAGGATGGTGTCTTCAAAGGAGACAGTCAGCAAGGACTTAGTAACGGGCACAGTTGCCTGTCCTGGGGAGGTGGAAGATCCAAGTGGAGTGGAAGACACACAGGCTTGCAAAAAATGGGTTAGTGGGTTTGTGAAGCAAGTGGAGAAAGGATTGGGCAAGGTAGGCAAAGAGCAGCATCGTGGTGCTGATGGCACAGAGGAGATGGATGCTGAGATAGGAGACAGTCCTGCAGCAGGCAGCAGCTCTGGGAACCAGAGTGGTGTCCCACAGAGTCCCACGGCTCCTGCTGAAGAGGGTCTGCTGCTGGAGACACGTGATTCAGAAGCCACCCAAAAGGCTCCCAGGCAAGGGGCTCTGCAGACTGCACCGGGGACCAGCCCTCCTCCTGCCGAGCCGAAGCCCTGGGCGAAGGCAGATGTGCCACCAGGCAGAGAGCAATGTGTGGAGAGCACAGCTGTCTCAGACCTCCAGAGCTTGTTTGATGATGACTCCACATTCTCCCAGCTGTTCCCCCGAGATGACCAGTTTGTCCGGAGAAAGTGCACACGGGTGTATGGGAAGCGCAGCAAGAAACCCAAGGCCATCACCGAGGTAAACCTCCAGCCAGCAGGTGCCATTGACCTCTTCACAATCCAATTAGCTTCTGACCTCAGCGAAAGCAGCTCTTTCTGTGTCACCAGGGAGGACCCTTGCGAATACGAAACCATCTCCGTTGACGATGCCTTAATGCTAAACATGTGTCACAGCAGCAAGGCAAAGAGTGAAGATGCTGCTCCTAGTGGGTCTAAAAGCATTGCGCCGAGGTCAGACTGCGAGAAGACTGACCAAGGGAAGGAGGACATTGACCTGGAAGACAACATGCTAACCTTCTTGTGCCAAAACAGCCAAGTGGACAACATCCCCAGCTTGAGCATCTGGGGAAGCCTGGAGAAGGAGGGAGAAAGCCTCTCTGCCGAGGACATGTTTGACCCTCTGATGGACCTAGAGGATGAGCAGTCGATCAGAGAAGTGAGCTCTGAGCCCCCCGACCTGGCAGAGGAGCCCTACAATGGTAAGGCTAATGAAGATTCAGACTCTCCTGAATTTCATACCATTGACATCGAGATGCTGAATGCAAAGCTGAAAATGAGAGACATGTGCTTCTTCGGCTCTTGCGAAGATCTTCCTGGCCACGGGGAGGACAATGCTGTGAGTTTCAAGCCAAAGCCTGGCCAGCAGAGCAAGCACAGAAGCAAGCTAGAAGATGGGAAGCTGGGGAAAAACCGCAGTGAGATAACCATCAAGGCCAAAGACAAGCAGTACAAATGCAAAGTGTGCTTCCAGTGGTTCCTGACATTAGGGGAGCTGGACTTCCACAAGCTCTCTCATAACCCTTCCCCTCCACCTACCTGCTACATGTGTGTCCAGCGCAAATTCAGCTCCCGGGAGCAGCTGAGGGACCATCTGAAGGAGAAGCATGCCAAAAACAAAGCCGGTCTGTGGGCTTGCGGGATGTGCCTGAAAGAGATCTCCGATGTCTGGATGTACAACGAGCATCTCCGGGAGCACGCCACCCAGTTTGCTCGCAAGGGGCAAGCCCAGAAGTCCGTGATGGGCCTGCCAGCCTGCTTCGGTGAGGACAATGCTGCTGTCACCCACTTCCTCAACACCATCATGTATCGGAAGCCCAGCAGGTCCTCCCGGCACGCCGACCCCAGCAGCAAGCATGCAGTTAGCAGAGAGAGCAAGAGCCCCAAGGAGCTGCCCCTCGAGCCAGAGGCCAAAGCAATGAAAGACCCCTTGGAAAGCAATGTCAAGGTGAAGCCACCTGCACCCAGCTCCTCTAAAGCGTCCGCCAGTCCATCTCCAGAGCACATGGCAAAAAGTGAAGGCACCCCAAAATCTGTCCCCATGCACCCGGACTGCAAGGATCCTTCCAGGGACTGTCATCACTGTGGCAAACAGTTTCCCAAACCCTTCAAGCTCCAGCGGCACTTAGTCGTGCACAGTTTACAGAAGATTTACTTGTGCCACAAGTGTCCGATGTTCTACCAGGAGACCAAAGAGCTTCGAAACCACCTCAGTCAGGAGCATGGGATAGTGGAGGAGCAGGAGATCAAGCACACCACCCTGTATGCCTGCGAGCTTTGCGCAGACGTCATGCACGTTATCAAGAAGTCCTTCATCTGCAGCATGTGCAACTACACCTTCTCCAAGAAAGAGCAGTACGACCGGCACATGGAGAAGCACCTGGCGGGAAGCAACAAGACTTTCAAATTCAGAGGGGTCATGAGGCCTGGTGTTGCCTCCAGAGAGGGCAAGGAGAAGATGAAAGAGGACAGCTCTCTCCGGGAGGGCATGCCACCGAGCAAGAAGAGGAAGGTTGCTCACCACAGCAGCTCACTCCCGCGTGGCTCACCAGTCCACCTGGACCACACTAGTGACCTTCAGTTGGTAGAGGCTACAACTCCAAGCCTGCAGGCTTCCACTGACTCCTTGCCTACAGCACCTGGTGACCCAGGGCCACCCCAACCCTCTGTGAAAACAGAAGACCTGGTGGGTGACTTCTCCGACCTGCTGGCGGAGATGGAGAAATCCCAGTTTGACACCCTGCCTCCACCACCCTGCCTCTCCCCATCTTTGCCACAAGCTGTGGTGAGCAGTCCGGAGCTCGGCCATATCACTGCCTTGTCTATCGAGGAGCTGGAGAAAGGAGCGTTTGATGGGAAACCACTTCCTTTCTTGGACTCACCTGAGTTTACCATTGACCTTGCTGGGTTGGCTTGTAACCAGGCCACAGATCAAAAACTCTCTCCTCCACACCTGACCGAGAAACGTGGCTACACCAATGCCCATAAAAGAACAAGCATAGGCAACAAAGAGGAAAATATAGGGGGTGTCCTGGAAAATCCTCATGCAGCCACCGATGCCATGGATGGAATCCCATTTCTCCAGCTTGCCAAGAAGGTCTCAGAGCTTCCTGCCCCGCCAACTGAGGCTCCACCAGCCAAGGAGACCCACAAGTGGTGCAACCCCAGTGCCAGTGATTCCTCTTCTTGGGAAGGTGCATCTAAGGCTACATCTCCAGAAGCTGCGTACAACTCCCTGCCCCTGAAGGAGAAGACCCCATCTCCCACGCTGAACAGGGCTGCCAAAGAGTCAGCCCTGCAGAAGAAGACCACGGGCAGCCAGCCCAGCAGTGAGGCAGCTCCTAGTGTAGGCAGCCCCGGTGGCAGCACCGAGGAGGGTCAGCAACCCATCTCGGGGAAGGAGAAATCCACGCCCGAGGCTAAGGACAGCAGCACTAACACCAAGGACCAAGGCGGCAACCCAAGCAAATCCACCGGCCACCAGCCCAGAGGTGAGGCAGCTGGCAACGCCGTGAGACACAGCCATGTGGACCCAAGCAAAGCCACCAGCAAGCTTCATCCCAAGAGGCGGAAAGAGCACAAGTCCTTGAGCCACCGGAGCAGCTCTGGCTCCCGGGAGAACATGGAGGGAGATGGGAAAAAGAAAAAAGCCCGGACCCCATGCCCAGGAAGGAGCGAGAGCACTGGTGAGCTCAAACGTGCCAGCTGGAGCAACGCCGAAGCTTCTGCCCTCTCCCCTGGGAGGAGGGAGACACACTGCAACAAACTGGTACCCAAGCCCAAAACGGGCACCCAACTGAAGAAGACGGTCCTAGACACTTGCAACCAGAAGAAGGGAGATCTCCGTCACGCCAATGGGGACATGAAGCGCAGGAAGGCCATTCTGGGGAAGAGCCTCCATCAAGTGTTGGCCAAGGGGCCAACACCATCCCCGCGTGGCTCCTTGCACAGCCCGCGCGCCGCCCGGGGTGCCAAGCCGGCCAGCTCGGCCAGCTACCGCACTGCCGAGTCCCAGAACAACCTGCTAAGCCAACTCTTTGGGCAAAAATTAACTAGCTTTAAAATTCCTTTAAGAAGAGATACTTCAGAGTAATTTATGGAAGTGACTTATGGTGATCCTCAGCTGCTTTCATGGGGTTTGCAAGGGAAAAATTATCAAAGCATTAAATTCGTTTGTGTAGCATGATTTCTCTGTCTAGCTTAAATGAACTTGCACTGCAGCCTCTGTGAAATAGTTTGCTTTGTGTCTACTAATCTACTTTAATTCACCTGATTTATCATGCAAATGCTAGAACTTTGATGTTGCTGATGATTTTCATGAACTGAAATTGTAATCGCTTTGGGCAGACTGAATCGTCGAGAGCAATTGCTTTATTGCAGAAGTGCTGAGGTTATAAGGATACTTGCAAATCTCAGACCCTTTTGAGACTGTGTCTGTGTTATCTTTGTACAAAGTACTTGAAGAGATGAACTTCATTCCGTAGACGTCTTATTCATAAGGTGCAGTACACTGTAGAAAGCAAATTTTTTTTTTTGAAGATTTTGCACAAATAATCCCGTACAATTCATTTAATTGGGAGCTGGCCTAAGAGATGATACAATTAAAAGGAGGAAAAAAAAAAAAAAAATTAAATTAAGAATCGAGTGTCCTATATTTTGACAGCCATCCCTACGAATTTGTTTCTACGTCGTCGAGAGAATAACGAACTGGCTCGGGGGCTGCTGGGGGCTGTCGGAGCCCTTCGGAGGATGCTGCCACTCTTTGACCACTGTAGACGACGTAACCGGAGGAGAGCCGCCACCGCGAGCAAACTGCACCTTGACACTTGTGACAAACTCTGATTTTTTAGGGTTGGGTTTTTTGTTGGTTTTTTTTTTTTTAATGTGGGTGTGCGTGTGCGTGCGTGTGTGTTTTCTTTTTGTTGGGCTACGGGGGGTGGGGAGGGTTGCGCAACGACAAAACTGTGCCAATTTACCGCACCAAACCGGTACTGTCCGAGTGCCCTCAACGGTATCACTTCTAAACTCTCTTACTGTATTGAGTTAGTGGCTATATAGGTATCCGCTTTTTACTATGCAGTTACTGGTGCTATTCTTCTTTTGTAATGTGAATACAGACTTCCTTGATTGAGAAATAAAAGGGAACCATTAGGAAGTAGCCGTTACCTGTAAGATAAAACGAAGCAGGAAAAAAGAAAAAAAAAAAACCCAAAACATTATAAAAATCCAATTTTAGGGAAAAAAAAAAAAAAATCCTGTATGCTGGTACTCCATAGTGTCAAAAAGGTTACGTCACGCTAAACGAGCACGTTATAGAACCGAACTTTTGAATCTGGTAAGAAATCTCAGGTGCAAACGAGGACATGGAAGATAACTAAATACTATTGAAATACTCCCAAGTCAAGGAGGTGAAGTAATGCACTGATGTGATATGAACAGTCAGAGTACTTTGCGTCTGTCCTGCAATTATTATTTTTGTTTTGTTTTAGATTTAAAAGGAAAAGAAAAAAAAAGAGGCTTTATTCTGTTAATATGTATCTTTACAATTCTTTGTATTGTATAAAAATATTGTAGGTAAATTACCTTGGGTGCAATGTGTTCTGTCAAAAGTTTTTATTTTGATATTTTGTCAGAGAAGCAGAGAGAGAGCAGGAAACGCCGTTTTATGATGTTGTATGTGTGCTTTTAAAGTGCCTCTTTAATATTGTTAAATAAAGTATGAGATGAAAATATGGGGTGGTACTGTAAAATCATACATGATTAATCTTTTCAAATATATTCCAATATTTTCACAGAAATTTCCTGTCTGCGTGATGTCTGTGGGATGTTCCTCCTTGGTTGTGTCCCGTACCCTGCGGTCCCCATGGTTCCCTCCTCCCACCCACATCTCTAACCAAATGATGGTATTTCTAATTTACAGCAAGATGCTTTATATGTCTTCATGGTGTCCTCTGTAAAGTGGCCACGGGAGGATGTTGGTGCAGCTGCCATCACCTTGCAATCATTTGCAAAGCAGTGGAGCTTCTCAATGGTGAAGATGCTCATCCATCTCCTCTTCCCCACTGCATCTTGCCCGACTCCTGCTCATGGACCAGGTGTCTCCTCCCAGGGGGGTGTAAAAAAGCCCAATGTGATGGTGATGGCCCCATTTGGTCATCACCAGCTGGTGATGGTGGTGGGCCAGTTTGGCCATCATCAATTGGTGATGGCCCAGTTTGGTCATCACCAGTTTGTCCTCAAGCTGACCTCTGCCGGCACAGCGCTGAGGTCTGAAGGTAGGAGGCTGACACAAAGCCGGGCATATTATATTCTTTAATTACTGTTGCAATCATAACATTTAAACGCTGTCAATGAGAGATAGCTCCTAACCGCAGGCTAGAATCCTTGCCACTTGGGGCTTGTAACTAAAACTGCAGGATTAATTTGATTAATTGATAGAATTATTTTCCAAACTACTCTTTTGTTTATGGAGGCTTAAAATGCTTGCCGCCTGCACCCTCCTGGTGTGTTGCAGAGTGGAGATAAAGTGGCTGAAAATAATTAGTATGGCTTAATTTAGGGAAAAAAATAACCTCAAAAGAATTTTGCAGAAAATTTAAGGCAGCACATTTTACTTTGTTTTGGCAGGAAATATTATGGAGCTGGAAATGGGACTTTTATGTTTTTCCCTCTACTATATTTCACCAGGGCTGCAAACCTACGGGGCAGAGGAGTATTTCATGCCTGGTTCTTACTGTAGCTCTCCCACACCTCCAGATTCATAACCTGGAAATGAAGTCCCCTGGGAGCCACAGGTCTGCTGCAGGGGATGGGACGTGTCCTGGTCCCTCAGCAGGTGTGGGGACACCGTCCTAAAGCAGCACCCACCTTATTGCAGCACAAGCCACGAGCAATGCTCGCCTCGGGTACTGCTCCCTTCTGAACGCTGCTCCCCAGGGAGATGCTGGCATCATCCCTGCAGCTCTGAAGGCTGAAATATTTAATTCTGCCCTTTCCCCTCTCTAAGTGAGAGTCGTTTGGTTTTTTTTCCCCCATCCTCTCCTGCCTGCTCTCACCCACATCGCCCTCCCGCAATCTCAGCGCCTGCCAAGCGGCTGACACCCCCCCCACACCCTGTCCATCAGCTCCCCTCAGCTCCGGAAAGCCCCCGGTTTTGCTGAGTCCCGCATTATCCAGCAGCACTTGACACTTGGAAGATTGCAGGCCCCTTGTCAACGTAATTCCAGCGAGGAAGGCAAAGCCGAGCGGCTTCTCCCGGCTGCAGATTAACTTGCTGCTCAGCGGGTGCCAGCAGCACGGGGGGGGACACCCAGGATGTCTGTGGGTCCCAGGGCTGCACCCTTTGGGATGCACAGCTGGTTTGCACCATCCTCAGCCCAACCCACACCCTTCACAGCTGGGGACAGCCCTGCAGCCAGCCCCGGGGGGTTGCAGGATGGCTGGGTCTGAACCAAGGGTGCCTGAGGGGATTTCTTGGCTCCTTGCCACCACCCTAAATTCTTCTCAAGCTGCTGTTTGCTCTTCCAGGCCCCCCCAAATCCAACCGGCCTTTCTTCTCAGCTCCACACCCAAGTTTCTGTGCTTTAAGCCTCCCTATAAAGCCCAGAAGATAACGGGATCCACCACGGTTGTCACGCAACTAGCAGGGGCTAAAGATTAATAATTTCTTTTCTTGCTCTTGAGTCAAATCTGGCCGTTCCTTGCACAGCAAGAATTTAAACCCTGGCTCCCACATCCCCCCTGGCCGTATGTACGTGATGGGAGCCACACACACCTGTGGGCTCCTGCATCCTTGATGCTGAATTGCCTTCAGGCAGGGAAACCCCAAGCCAGGGTGGCTGCGGGGTGCAGGGACGACGGAGCTGGGGAGATCATGCAGGAGCCATGCAGCCACCCAGGAGCTGCAGTAATGCCAGCAGTGATGCCCCTCAAGCCACAGCCTAGTTTTGCTACCTGACCCCCAGGGATGGGAGAGAGTTGGAGCATCACCCCTATAGGAGGAGATCACCAGCAGAGGGGAAGAAAGAAGCACTGAGAAACCTCAGCCTTGAATCTGGGGCACAGGGGGACCGCTGAGCCACCAGCAGCATCCAGCATCATTTTGCATCCTTTGTTTTAACCCCCAAAAACCTTCATGCTGCCACCGCAGCTCCTGGCAGCCCTGAATCCAGCAGCATCAGCTCTGCACGGGACGTGCCCAAGCTGTGGAGGGGCAAACCCAAGCTGTGCCCAAGCCATGCCCAAATCACAGGGGGCCGTGGGCTGCTGGCAGCTGCCTGGGGCTGAGCAGCAGGCAGGTGACAAGTGGCACCCAGGGCCAGGTTCTCTTGCCGGTAGGTGGCAGGGCCCTTCCGCAGCGCACCCAGCCCTGTGGGTCCTGGGCTGCCCGCAGGCAGGGGATTTGAGATGCCACCCCTCTCTCTTGGGACAAAAGGAAAAGAAAACCCTAAAAACGTGACTTTTTTGCAGCTGGAAATAGCTATTTCTGCAGCCTTGGCAGAGCGCTGCCAGGGGACGGTGCCAGCAGCTGGGGTGACCCACGGACACCCAGACCCACTTCAGGGTGCTCAGCGCAGCCCCCCAAGCATCACCACCACCCTCCCCCGAAATACGGCCGAGGCAGCGCCTTAGCTTTTCCCCCATTTACATTCCTCTGCCGCTTTGGGGTGCTCAGTGCAGCCCCCCAAGCATCACCACCACCCGCCCCCGAAATACGGCCGAGGCAGCGCCTTAGCTTTTCCCCCATTTACATTCCTCTGCCGACACCTCCTCTCCCCGCGTCTCTAATAATATCACCCCAGATTAATTGGCACTAATACAAATGTACACAGCTCCATAAAAAGATGTCACCTCGCTCACAATGGGGGAAACGGCTGCTCGCGCATTATCTCTGCTCTGCAGGCGTGTAATTCACTCCTCGGGAAAACACGCTATTTATTCTGTTACCCTATAACAATCTCTCTGCAAACACAACGGGATCGGGGGGGATGGGGGGGGTGGTGGAAGAGGGAACACCCCACCAGGCTGCTGTCACCGGCACCGTGTCGGTTGTCCCAATGCAGGGGCACCCGTGGGTCTCCTTCCTGGTGAGGTGGGATGGGCAGGAGATGCTGGGGCTTGGGGACATCCCCGCAGCAGGGATGCAGCCTTTGGCCTGGAGTTGTTTGATGTGACTGCAAATTTTCGGGCCTGGGGTTGGGGGGGTGGGGGGGGATAGAAGAGGCTTTGGGACAGTGCCAAAAAAGCTAATTAAAAGGACACTGGCAAGGAATGTGCAAGGAGAAGGACTGCAACCTGTTTCCTCCCCGGGCAGGGCTGCACACTGGGTGTTCTGCACCCAACGGCTCAGTTGAGGTTTTTTTTTTTGGCTTCTTATGGCATGGGTGAGATGCAGCCCCCCCAAAGGGTGTGACAGTGACCGGGGTCTGTCCCCTCAGGCCCTCAAAGGACGCTGCCGCCGCTTCTCCCAGCACAAAGAGCCTGCTCCCTTCTGGGGGGAGAGGAAATTTGGGTGCCCTGTTGGTATCCGCTCCCCCACCCCGCCAGGTCCAATGCAATGATTGGTGTTGCATTTAATTAAATAATTTCTCTCATTGTTCTCGACATAAGCAAACGGTGCCTGGTTAATGACACCGGTGCTGTGGGTGGTGTCGGTGGGCGATGCCATGGATGTGCCTGGAGGAACCGGCTGGGTCTGCAGCGCTGCACCAGTCCCCAACCCCAAAACACCTGCAGCCAAGCTGGGGCTGGGGGTGGAGACCCCCCCCAAAAGCAGCAGAGCGGAGCTTCAGCTCCCCATCCCCTGATGGAGACAGCACCCATGGTGGCTGACATACAGCAGAGGCCACTCGGTTCTCCTTGGTTGGACCCTGCAAAGCCACCACTTGGTTTCATCACACCCGTGAGGGGTGGTGGGGAAGGGAAAGGCTCCAGAAGCGGAGCTGCCACCCTGGGGTGTGACCATCTCCAGGAGGGCTGTGGGTTGGGGCCAAATGAGGTGAAAAATTGAAAAATCTAGATTGTTTGGGGAGGGGGCAGCCGGCCAAGTTGGGGGCTGGAGGGAGAAAAGCAAAGCCTTGTCCTCAGCAGCATCTCCCTTCTTCAATGGATGGTTGGGTTTTGTCGGGTGTTTTTTTTTTTTTTCTCCCCTGGAACTCTTCTTAATTCCTAACTTAATTTCTTTTGACATCCTCATTGCCGGCTTGACCTCTTTACTGGAATCATGTGCTGCTTAAAACTCATTATCCCACCATTGAAA